AAAGACACAGAATCAGGATCCCATTTGTTTTGTCAATTTTGATCTTCCTATCAATAAGGTAGCAGAAAAGCTTAAACATTTATTCAGACTTTTCTATTGCTCTTACTTTTGGCATTGTATTATACTATATTGGTTATTGGTATTACACTACTATTGGTTAGTTATACTACTATTCGTTATAGGTTATAAGCTATAGTCTCATAAAATGTTTCAAGCACATACTTCCTTTAAGGCAATTATGTGGAGTTTGACAATTGTCCTTGCTCAGCTTATTACCACTAAAAGAGCACTGCTGCACTGTGTTTCTTTATTCAAAGATATCTAAATGATCATCAGTGAAGAGCAAAGAAATAGTGATTGAACACAACTTTGAATGAACAGGAATAAAAAAAAAATCTTTTAGTAATTCAGATAAAACATTTTCTAAAGTAAAACAAAACTGTTTAAAAGAATTTCTTTCTGTTATTATTAACATTGAAAATACTATATTTATTTTAAGAACTGGTGGCTTAATCAGCATTGAAGGCATGTTGCAAAGTGTTACAATATATTCTGTCATTTGGCTCAGCTTTAGGCAATTATACATGTAAATATAATTACTATGGTATTCTTTTTTTAAACATATTAGTCTCAAGTTTGTGATGAATGAATCTGCAACGTGTTTTCTTGACACCTTTTTGAAGTGAATTAATCCAATATTAATTTATTTTAGATGTGCCAGAAGCATCATCCTATTACTAATAAGTCGAAATAGACAGCAGGAAATGCAGGTCCCTTCCTAGCATTGCCAGAACGCATCTCTGTGTGTATCCAGCAATCTGGGTGATGTGTTGACAGAATGAGGCCAGCGATGCAAATAAAGGAATTCTCCCTCCTCCTCTCCTTGCAGTTTATTGCTTGTCATTGACTAACTCACTGACTAGAATTTCTACAGAAAAATCAAACTAGTAGTGAAGCAGCTTTCATATTAGCATTACTATCAAATGTTTAATTTGTGTACGAGGAGATAAGAGTATTTATGTTTCCAAAATTACGGCTATTTAATTTGGTTTATTGGCTGCCTAAGGCTGAAGTAGGATTCTCTAGGTATATAAATTTCAGGCTGGATTCTTAACATGAATTAGAGTAGTTTTACTGCAGTTGCTGTAGCGGACTGTCATCAGTGTCACTTTACATTAGTGAAACACATGAATCCAAATGCTTCTGTTAGATACCAAATAAATACTTATTTTTTAAAATGGAAGATGATTTTTTTAACCTATCTCCCCCTAAATATCTTTAATTATGCTTGCTGTATGTGTTAGGATTTGTTATTTTGTCTTAATCACTTGCAAGTTTTTAATCTGATTCCCTGACATACTAACACAGCAGAGAGACAAAATATATTTATTCTTGCAAATCATAGTGTATGTTTCAGCTTTTACTGTTCTCAGATCAGGAATGCTCAATTTAAGATAAAAACTATTTATTCCATAAAAGATAAAAGCCAGAATTCATTAACAAATGAAAAAATACCCCAACAACAACAAAATCAAACACAGAATTTATAGATAGAGAAAATCAAAGATAGTGGGTGACTGGAAGGAAAGTTGCATTTATATGAAATAAATATTCAGTGGTTTAGTATAAAGTGAAATAATGAAATCTTATTCCCTTTGATCAAAATATACAGATGATCAGGATAGGGAGTCATACCAGCATATACAGCTGTACTCAATTCTTATTTGATAAAAAGTAGTCATGGGCAAAGGACTCTAAGAAGACAGATAACAAGCTTCTGTATTTTCTGGCTCATTGTATCCAGTAGGTACAGAACGCCAGATTAGTATATTTTATTCATATTGATTTGAGTAGCTTTATTTATCTAGCATAGTTACCATCTGTGAAAAACAGTGCTTTGCACAAAAATAATGGAGAATCTAGTAAAAAAAAAAAAAAAAAGTGGCTTCCAAATTTAGTTTGCTGTTACCAATGGAATACATACTGCAATTTGGCAAAAATCTGTCTTGTGGGTGATTTGAGGAGTAAAAAGGCACCTGATAACTCATTTCCACACAGACACTCTACCAACTGGAAAAAGATTTTTCTTTGATTGAAGCCTGAACCTCTGTTTAATGGAAGGGGGAAACCACTCTTCCCAAGCTCTCAAAAGCTGTTGCAAGCAGACATTTAACTGCTGAAGCAGCCCTGCTCTCTCTAATCTGGGGCACACAGCTCAGCAGGTGCTCATTTTAAGTGACCATAATTATATTTCATTGCCCATTTTTCCCACTGGAAGTGTAAGACTTGGCTATCCCCATGCCTAATCTTTGTATTTTTAATGCAGGTGATGTATACTGTGAACAGTACCCATGTGATACTGAAATCACCTGGCAAAAAAAGGTACTTCCTGTGAAAACATGTTTTCAAGGTGGAGATGAGAGGGAGCAGTGCAAGGCATAAGAGAACTCAATGGGAAGTAAATGGTGTTGTAATGCTGCTAAAGATGTAGTAACTTTTGTATGCTAATACCTTATTTAGGACATTGAAACACAAGTATTTTTAAATTCTTGGATGCATTTGAATTTTAAAATTCCACATTTGTTATTAAAAATGTAGAGGAGGATTTTACACTTCCACACACATACACATACTCAATTAAAAGAAACTAAAACATAGATAAAGTTTGTTTTTTAAAAGTATGAAAGGCAGTTTGCTCAAACCCTGTTCTGGTGTGCTTCCTGTGCATAAGTAGGCCCTACATATATGATCAGCTGGCTGGTTTTTCCCCAGACAATCTGTGCATCTGTTTTATTCTTTTTGTCAGGTGTAACCTGACAAAGAACTTCAATCACTGGTTGTCAGGCAAACACATAATTAATGTGACAAATAATAAGTTACAGATAGCTCATATCTAACTATTACCTCTGGCTTGGTATGCCTTCAACAGCATCACTTTAGTGCCCAGCTGTAGATTCTGCCTGTTTTTGTTTTAGGCTCAGAGTATTTTGTAAGCTGTGTATGATGCATGCCTGTAACTACAGCATATGTTGTTTATGAGCCCTTAATCTTTCCTCACTTGAGGCAGCACTGCCCCCCTGCAGTTCGCAGAGTTCCATCTGCATCACTTGTCTTGAATTGTAGATTTGTATCATGGCAGAGTACAGAAAAGGTACCTTCAATCTTCCCATGACAGCTGCACAGCATTTTTCTAGGCTGGCAGTCCTTGTCAAACCAACAACAAACCTGCTGCATCTGGTGCTGCTGATTTTCCATAAGGCTTTTTAAAATGCCCAGCATTTAGTGAGGCCAGTTGTTACTTCCCCTCCAATTTACCCGGGTATCACTGCAGAATTTCACCCAAGGATAGGCATAATACACTCAACCTGTCCTACTGCACTGTAGGACTCTCTATTTAGATGAAATACAGAGTTTTGAAAATGCATATTCATGTATATTCCTCATAGCCTAATGATCACAAAATTCATTTGGGCACGTAGAAGACCTAGGTAAATCCCTGAAACAGCATCTTAGTCCCATGCATTGTCTTACCAGGCCAATCACAATCTAAATTTGTAACTGTGCCACATTGGGTTAACAGTTATTTCACAGAAGAGGGCCCTCAGCTCAGGTTTTATCACGTTCTTATTGCCCTTGTCTTATTTTTTCCTATTGCAAGTTTTGCTGGTACATCCCTAACAGAAAGTTTATGATGGATCAAAAAGAAAACCTTATCCAACCCAAGTAGCAAAGGGAATGGCTCCTTAAATACCTGTGCTTCCTTTTAATTACTGCCACTTGATTAAAATCTGTAAGGCGATGCTTTGGAGTGACAATGTGTTTAGTCTAACATTCATCAGAATAAGAAAAATTGGAATGTGGCTGTATTATGTCATGAGCAGAGAGAAAATACTGATATTGTTAAGCTATTATCTGTCCCTATATAGAAGTGTTTTTTACTGAGAACTGTAACAAATTGAAGTAATATTAATTCTGGCACGATAACGCTCTACTTTTATTGCAGGGTGACTCAAACCACCTTTTTATCTCAGAGAAAACAATATATAATAGAGAAATGGCTTTGAGAGAAAAACTGTACCCCAGTTGAGAGTTTATATAAAGGTATTTTTTTAAACACTTACTGAGAGGTTTTTGTAATGTCACTGAAAGAATACACAATGTAAAAGTGTAAAACTGTATTGACTCAGAAAAGAGACCCCGCAGTACTTGTTACATGGGCTAATACAGGAGAGTCTGAGCTTTTTATCACACCTATTTTCACAGAAAACTCTTATTTTTCTCAGTCTCACTTAATCTGTTGTATTTTCCCTAGGCAGTAGATTCATCTTCAAGGACTAATTTATACAATGCAGTTCTGTTACTGTCTTGGTTTCCAAAATGTTTTCAGGAATTGTGGTAAGCTCATGTCACTGTTAATTAACCTTAAAGGCAAGACAATACAATTCCTCTGTAATCACAGAATGATACTGCAGAGTCTTTTTAGCCACTGTTGGTTCTAACTTGTAAATTAGTTTTAGAAGATAGCAAAACAATTTATAAAGTCACATTGAAACTTGAAATAATCGAAGTGGGAACTATTTGGCTACTAACTAAATATTGTTCATTAACTGCTGGTAATGATTAATGTGCTAGGCCAATTATTACTGATTTTATTTCCAATGTGTCTGCATACTTATGACAAAATTCAAGCTTTTAAAGGAAATGAAGACCAAATACAGAAAATAATAATCTACAGTAGTATACCACTTATTTTAACAATTTAAATATTCCTTTCTCTTCAGGGAAAAGTTGTTGTGCAATCCTCATTCTGAATCAAAATTTTTGGGGGTAAGTCTCTCTTTCTGTTTTTATTTTTTCAGTTAAATTGTGTAAGTAAACTGGTAAATCATATTTTTGGTTTTAACCACAAAGATTAAACAAGAAATTATAGGGATTATAAAGAATATTAAAATTTTTCTCCAACTCATGAAAATATCTGAATAAACAAAGGCAATAAGCACTAAAATTTGATAGAAACAATTTATTTTTTAGATTTTTCATTTGCATGAAGATAGAAAACTCTTTACGTGGATAAACTTCCCTACAGTAGTCAATCATTGTTCTTGAATGGATAATCTTTATAGGATTATCAGTCTTGTATCAAGAGGATAGCAAAGGAGCTGACGTGGAGCAGCATGCAATGATGTGTGTGCCCTCTGTAAAGTCCTCCACAATTAAAAATTGTCTCTGCTCTAACAGGTATCCTTTAGGAGGGACTCTAAATGCTAAACTTTCAAGGCTAAATTGTGAAAGACCAGAAGTCAAGGTCCAAAGTTTTTGAGCACCTGGACACAGGGTATACAATGGAGAAATCCAACCCTTTTCCTGGTAAAATAATGGGTTAAAGTGCAATGGAAGAACTTTGTTATTTCTTTCCCATTAGTTAAGTATGGGGGCAAAATCCTAGCTTTTAAGTTTCCTAGTAATTTCCTTTATGTTCTATAGATAAAATAAAATAAAAAAAAAATCACAAAAAAAAAAAGGAGGTTGTATTAGACTCATCTGGACATTAAATGTGTGCTGCTTACTGTGGTTAAACAGATCCAGCTGCTTGATATGGTTAATTCTCTGTAATACTAGATCAAAACAACTATAATGGCATTTTTCCTAAAAAAGGAAAGGAAGAGTATTTAAAGTGAAAGCTTAGTCTTTCTGGAATGTTAAACATCAAAAACTGGTCAAACCAGCATCAATTCTGCAGTAGTCTTGCACATGTAATTATATCACCTGTCCCAGATGCACCCAAAAATCTTTGAAACAACAGCATGACTTCTTCAAGTGGTCTTCCCACAAGAAATTTACTTTTGCAAACAACACTTGAGTATCAGATAATGAGGTGAAATTTATTTGATGATCAATTTAGAGAAAAGTAATTTCTGCTTTACTATCAGTTGTGTAAAACCATGAGATATATATAATTTCTTAAACGATGAACTGTCTCGTTAATAACACCTGCATACTGATTGTAAGCCTACAGGTCTTCCCAAAAAATTGGCTAGTTTTGAATTCCAAGGGTCAAAAACTGAGAACTTTTTATTTTACTGTTACTCAACTGTGGCTCAGTAGAATGTCTATTTGGTTGATCTGATTCCCTCCCTGAGCATGAGGGAAGGAGGGTTTTCTTAAGGACTGCAACAATGGAAAAGATCAGGACGGCACAGAAGAGTATTTTTCAGTCCAAAAATGAGAAACTGATTGAAAGTTTGAAATGTAAAATTACAGTCTAATCTCTGTTTTGCAGAGGTTAAGGTGCATAGTTTTTGACCATTCACCAAAACAAAATTTTTTATGAGAATCATGGTTTATATAAAAGCAAACCAAACAAACTAACCCCTCACCCAGATTTTATTCATATACTTATTCATACTTAATATACTTCTCATGATACAAGTAAACTCTAAAATAATCATGAAATACATTCCATCAACTCTGTTCTTCCCCAAAATGCTGAACAGGAATGAGGAGTGATAACAAATCAAATAGATATGTGCATCACTAATCCATACAGCTCAGCTCTCCTTGAAATGTAAATTCCAGAAAGGAACTTGGATTTTCAAAGATGCATACAGTTTCTGCTAGCTGGTGCTCCTGCATTCAGCTCATTTAAAGATTAGCTGTAAACTTCAGACAAGAAAGACTTGATGCCTGCAAGCATAAATATAGAAAGACATTAGAACATTTCTATATAGGGACAGATAATAGCTTAACAATATCAGTATTTTATCCATCCTCATGACATAATATAGCATTGTTCCAATTTTCTGATTTGGATGAATGTTAGACAAAGAAAACACTGTTAGACTGCACACCTGCAGTTATTACAGTTTCAATATCCAGTGTCCTTCTAGAGAAAATAACCCTAACCTTAAACAAAACCCTAAACCTAACACCCTAACCCTTCTAGGGAAAATAACCCCAACCTTAAACAAAAAACTAACCCAAACCCAAACCCTAACCCAAACCCTAACCTAACCATAACCCTAACCCCTAACCCTAACCATAAATCCCTACCCCCCTAACCCTAACGCTTCCTTTTTCTTGGAAGACTTGAAATCTAATGTGGCATATGGACATCTGAGTTTTTCAATTACTAGCACCTTCCTTAAACTTTTGTTAAAGTATACGTTGTTTTCAAATTTGCTTCTTGTAAGAAAAATATTAAAGACAGGAAAAACAGATTTTCAGAATGTGTAAGAAACAGAAAGTTATATATTTTTGTCCAATATAAGAGGCATTTATGTTGCTCCCTTTGATAATGTGTTTCTGAAATGAGTGGCCTGGAAGGGGTTTTGTTTATCACTGAGATTGCACTGGTCAGGAAGAACCAGCCATGCTAGAGAGTATTGGGAATTCGGATTTGGGTGTTCTGTTATCAGTGCTGTGCCCACAAAATTGAAAGAGTTATTCTGATATAGAATCATACTGTTAATTCAGAGTTCAGAAATATTCTGGTTTAACTTTTTACTTGACAAAAGATAAAGAACTGTAGAACTGTTAGAAAGAAAAGACTTGTTAGACTGCACAACTGTAGTTATTACAGTTTGCTTATCCAGTGTCCTTGTAGAGATGGTAGAAGAGCAGCATAAATATTCTGCTCTCTGACCAATACAAATATTTTTGTATTTCCACAGATTCTTATTTGACATTGTATTTCTTAGTGCCTACATCTGACCAATATTACTGATTAAGAAGCCACTATCTCAAAAAAGTGGCAGAAGTAAAAGAGAATTTGCACCATCTGTAGAAAATAGGGATGTAGTAAATATATTTCATAAATGTAATTTCAGAGACTAATTATATGCTAATGAAAATAATTTGCTTTCATATATACACTGTATTTTCTCTCATACATACATATACAAGTAGTAGAACAGATAAAAAATAAGATTTATTATAATATTTTTAACATTTAATATTTTTTTAGAGAATATTTGATGAAAGTTATTTCCACATAGTCTGATTCTATCCAGCTTCAGAAGAATACTGCTATATGTCTATGTAGACCTCTCATGAAGTATTAAAAGCTTAAAAATCAGCCCTGCAATACATACCTGTTATGGAAAGTGGAAGAATCCCATGGTAGGAACACACACTCCTTTAGGCTGAGCAGTGACTTAGGTGGAAGGACACAGATGCAGGACCCTCACCAGGGTCCAGTTGGGTTTGATGCTCAGAGTTGATTTTCCTCTTTGGTACTGATATGCAATAAAATGCTTATGTGAAAAAGCAGAAAAATCAGCACAATACTGTTAAAAAACCCCCTGAAAATAAAATCTTGATGCAGGGTTAAAAATGGGTGTGGGTCTTACATATAATGTGAGTATGTCATGCTGAACACTGTGTCTGTGTGTGTCACACAACAAGAGGTTACTTTAATGTTGGGACTATCCCGTGATCTGCACCAGAAATGGCAAAATAAAACTACACCATGCTTCAGGGGGCAAGAAAAGAATATTTTTTTTTTAACAAGAGCCATTTGCCAATGGAGTTATATAAACCAAAATCAGGAGAACAATAGAATAACTAGTCACAGAGTACAAACATAATTCATATGGTAGTACTAAGAGCTTTTCCATTCAAGAGCAAAGTGACATAATTTATGCAATCAAGTATTTGTACAGTTGCTCATTAATTATTAATAATTTTTTGGTATTGATTTTTTTTTAGTGTATAGAGTATCAGTGTTCCTGGGATATTTTAGTTTCTTTACATTCAGAACTCTCACTTTAACTTTCTTCAAATAGTTCATATTCTTACTTCAAAAATTTTTTTTGCAAACCCAAGACAGTAAGAGTGTGGTTTAATACTCATGTTATACAGACAGGTAGCTTCTAGATCACCTATTCAAAATTACAGGTGAAATAGATTCCTTCTATTATTAATTAAGTACTTCAGCATATTAAAGATGACGATTTATTTCTTGGAGCTACTATGTGTGCCCCTATTTTAACATACAGTTTAAACTTACTTTATGAAAAGTTCTATAAATCAACACCACTATCATGTGGAATATAAAAAATAATAACAACAAAAAATACAGAACAGTTAGAATAATACTATTTCCAATATTTACATTTTTTTACAGTTAGATGTGTTTTTCCAAAAAAGCAGAACTCTTGTAGAGATAACTCTTTGCTAAGTCTGCTGAAGTTAATGTATTTGCATGTGAGAGAAAGAAGATCAGGATATGACTCCCAGTAATCATACAAATACATAAAGCTTATTTTTCCCAACATAAAGAGTGCCATTTCAATGAGTTAACAGATGTTATTCCAATGAAGCATGTAACCAGGATGTTAATTCTCATAATACAAGTCTTTACAGTTTAGAAAGATATGTCTGAAAGTTTGTCTCAGGCCCTTTTTAGGAAGCATTGACTCCAAATGCGTTAATGCCAGTCAAAGGAATGATTAACCATCCTGTAAAATTTTGCATTGTGCTCTCTGAAGTAAGAATACAATTGCTCTAAGACAGTGCTGTTAACAAGAGGATGAGGACGCCCTTTGGACTCATGTAGACATCTCTCCCTCCCATCACTTCTGATGCAGTAGAATCCCTTGGTTTGGTTAAAATAAAAATTAGAAGACATAATTCTGGAAGGAAGATTTAGAAATCTTTCAACTTTTTGTAACTCAGGAAGAGGGTCCTTGATCAAAGTATTGCCATCCACTATGTGAATCTGATCCAAACTGAAATGCTTAAGCCACTTTTCCATATGGACATCATATAGACTTCTCTGAATAGCTTTGTATTTGGTGTTAAGCACTCCATTCTTAATAACAATATCTTCAAAGAGCTGAACAGGCTTGTGACTTTCTACTCTGTTGTAATATACTTGGGTATAGTCAGATATAACTCTCTCAGTGGGATCTCTTAGAATGAGCAGCAGTTTAATGGAGCTATTCATGTCATGAATTCTTCCTGGAGCCTGTGGTGATGTAAAATAGCCTGGTGTTTTCTCAATTGTAATTTGATTTCCATAAGAAAATGGCATCAGATTTCTATACCAGTCTATTCCTTTCACATAATTTTCATCCCAGTCAAAGAAGTGGACTTCTGTAGCTGCCACCACAATGTTAGGGTGAATATCCAACATTTCCAGCAAAGCCCTGGTCCCTCCTTTACGAACTCCTATGATGATTGTCTGAGGTATTTGTCGGCTCGTGCCAGGAGGTCTCACCTGTGCTGAATAGTGTTCACTTTTATTGCTGAATAATCCCACTTGTGACTTCAGTGTTTCCAACAGTGCCCCATTCTCAACAGGAGCACCTCGAGCGTGAGTCAGCAGAAGATAAGCTGACACAAGTAGGAAGGCCATGTGGAGAGGAATAATTATTTCAAGATAATGTTTTGCTCAATTAATGAAAGAATAGGCGAGTCCCCTCTTGAGATGGTTGGCAGAACCTGTGGTAAGCACACAGCAAGCTTCTGAAGCATCTGCAAAATAAAGTAAGACAAGTCAGTGCTTCTAAGATCATCATCAGTTAAAAAATTCAACTCACAATTAGCTAATTCACAAAGCTAATCTGTGATCCCAATAGGAAAATAATAGGGAAGCTATTTGTTTGAAATGAAGCTGGCTTCATTTTAGAAGGACAGAAAAGTCCCATGTGTTGAGGTTTTTTTTCCTTACCATGAGTGACCAATGATGGATACCAGCCTTTCAACAACTTTTATTTCCTCTAAGCAGATTAGAATTATTTACCTGATTTTAAATCCTGACCCATTTGTTGCTTGCTTTTATTTTCCTAATATAATTCCATATATACCACATACTTCTCTTGTTATAAATACTGTACCCCACACAATAACAGTAATTCCAAAGAATACTTGAATGTCAACACCTTTCCTCAAATTCCCTGCTAGATTAGTATATTCTTCTATAAATAACAGACCAGGACAATGGTGCCACCATCTGGGTTCTACTGAGCTATGAATCATACAAAACCTATTCTCTTTACTTAGACACAGAAAACAAAACACAGATATAGGCAAAGTTTTGGTATCTGAGCCCTTTAGAGCAGAAAACTGACTGTGCCAAAGCAAGAGTAAAGTGACCAAGTTGGATCAGTGTGGGAAAAAATGCAGGGTGGATGGATTCTCTGCAATTATCCAAGCATTGTGATGCACAGTCATGTAAGTGTTGGAAAAGCTTTTGTAAAATCAGATCTTAAGATAATATTCTGCAGTTCCCCCAAAGCTCTGTATAAGAGATACCCAGGTGCTTTCTGGTCATCTGTTTAAAAAACAATAACCATTCCTGGAATAATTTTGAATTATGGCTCTTGTTTTAAAGTAGTCTCAAAAATTACAACCTTAGCTCCTTCTCCAGTGTTCACTGTCTCTTTTTTCTTCTGAACATATTGGTCACGGTACTTCATCTCTTAGAAACAACCTTAGAAAATACAGCCAATTCCCATTTGTCATGGCACTGAGGAACATTCAATATTTCTATTTAAAAATTGTTTACTTTGAGTTTTACTTTACAGGCTTGAAAATTTTAAATTTTTGATAATAACAGTCTAGGCAATGCAGCAGATTCATTAAATCTATTTTCTAAATTTTATTGAAACCTTCTCCAGCTTCTTGGATATCTAGGGAATGACTCCAGTCAGACTCAGTGAGCACTAAATTCACAGTTATATAGCAAATACTAACCCTAAAATTGTCATTTAAAAAATAAACTATGACCTTTAGTGAGGAAATCTGCAGAGAACATTCCCTGTTATGTCCAAGCAAGACTTAAAAGGAAACTGCTTCTTCAAAAAGAGCACAGTTTCAACTAGGAACAGGGAGTATACAATTACTAAATATTGGAAAAGCCTAAGTACAAATTAGCTTTGTGATGACAGACAGGAATGCTGTTTTTTAAAAACTTGAAAGGATGTTTCATCTTAAAGATCACAATTTCTTTACTAGGAACTTCACACTGAAGTTCTGTTTGAAGTTCCCTAGAGCAAAGAATGCAAGAATTTCTATGGCAATCACAGGAGGGAAGAACAGGTATGTTTATACCAAAATCATTTATAGTTACTATTCCTTTGGATGGCAAGTTTGGAAAATGGTAACCATGCTGTTTAGTGCTGCTGAGGGATTAAAATGCATTTTACAATAATGGCAGCTAATGTTGGTTTTGGAAAGCTCCTCAAGATGCATTTGAAGCATCACAACCCAGGTGATTCCTGGAAAGCCAGCTTTCAAAGGAGGGAATCTGTTTTAATGATTTCAAGCCAAATTTTTCACAATTCTCAAGGTTCCTGAAGAGTTCAATCTGAGGAAAGGCACAGCTATGCATAAGATGGTTTCAGGAGTAGCAGCATATGACAGCATGGCATCTTTCCATACCTGTGGTGCCAGCAGCATGATTTGGGAGCAGGGGCCAAGGGAGAAGTTAATCATTCTTTTAACCTGTTCTGAAATCCCAGTGTTAGTTTGCATCCTATTCATCTTCATTGCTAAATTAAATTTCTTTCAGTAAGACTGAGGAATTGTTTTCATAAAAATCTTCCAATTTTTCTCAGTTTACCTCTTTCATGATAAGACAACACATTATGCATTATAAATGCACTTACACATCTATACATTAGATTACAAGTACTTTGAACTAAGGGAAGACCAGCCTGAATGTCTGCCAAGCAAGGGATTACTTATAAATACCAAGGTGGAGACATACAGTTCATTACCTGATTTAAATTCTGGAACTATCCCATTTTGAAACAGTTTCATGAACTGATTCTTGACAGGTACATTAGGCAATTTTATTTAACTTGAAAGAAAACTATTTTTATATTTCTTGAGACTAACTAGGTTAGTAGCTTAAATTGAAAAAATAGAAAGGAAGAGGGGGGAAAAAGCAGGAATTTCTCTGAAATAAACTAAAACCAGAGTAAAAAAAAACCAAGTATTTGATACTGGGACTGTGCAGTGGTATAGACAGAGATGTTCTCTTCCTAGACCTGGGGACAGGTGAAAAAATTCTCAAGTTCTCTTTTTTATTTTGTTTAAAAAACTCAAAACACTAACACTATTTCATCCCTAACTAACTGAGTTTTCTGGTTTCATCACCTAAGAATCAGGTGCAAATACTGAAACCCAAAGAAGACTGTAAGCTGAATGAGAAAGTCATACTTATCACCGAGGAAAGATTGGTCTTCCAAAATACTCTCAGGTTTACTTCTGACGTGAGTGAGAGTCTGCTTAATTTACCATCTGAAATCAGCAGTTCTCTGTAAAACATAGTCAGACAGCAAGAAGCAGAAGGGATTCTTCATATTCTGTGGGCTGAAGTATTGTTTGAAAAATAATTCAACATAATTATTAGCCATTTTAACCAGTTTTCAAAATAATTAGTTGTTTTACAAATTTCTTAGAATCACTGCTAGAAAAAACCTTACTCAGGAAATACTACAGAAAAAATGAAATTCAAAATGTACTGTAAATCTGGTTCCTAAATAGATCAAAATTGCCTTTGGGAGCAATTCTATCAAAACAACATTTCAGCTTTGGCCTAAGACATTTGATGGATTTCAGTGAAGCTCTAAGAAGTTAGATTCTGTGGTTAGGTTATAATTGCTACATAAATGTAAAGGTTTTAAAGAAGATTTATCATGTAATTGGAATGTTATTTGAATAAATTTTTGTTGTTGCTTTTATGCCTTTATGCAATTGTATTTTTAGAAGATATTAACTGCTTTTTATAATGAAAACAATATATTTTACACTGGTGCACTGCACCAATGAAGAATTTGAAAGTATTCTTATGAAACTAACCCCATGACACATGACCAGAATTACAATGCCTTATTACCATTTTTCCCTATTATTTGGTAGTGTTGGTGCTGTTTAGTACATAAGGAACATCAACAGACATGATACTTAATACACAGAAAAGTAGTTCAGAAATAAATTCATGCTGCAGAAAGGACTAATTAAGTAAATAATACCTTGGGCTGCTGTTTGTTTTATTTTTTTAAAACCTTAGACTAGACTTGAGAAGCTGCTATGCTGGCTGAAAAATCTTTTTAATATTACAAAAATGTACTAAAGACCCTTAACTGCTGCACTCTACTCTGAAAAAACTTCTAAGTGTCTTATGATTTATCTTGCTTTGGGGTAAAGTACAAAATCATAGGGTAAACCTAAAGATATTATTATTACTAATTCGTAACATTATTAGTTCCTAATAATACATCCTGTATTACATTGTCTGTAATGCTTTTCATTGCAGAATTCTGCAGCACTCTGAGTTAATGAACTGCCTGCACCTTATTAAGGCATCATTCTCACCTTGCAGGAAATTGCAACTGACCAATGTATAGATCCAGTTCAGGAGTGCAAATGCTTTGGAAAGTCAGGTTAATCCGATCTGCTCAAGGTCACAGAGCAGGTTTATAGTCCAACCAAGAATAAAAACCCCAGGGCTTCTAATTCTCCATCCAATTCCCCTTCCAATTCCAACTTTGTGTCATTCCATAGCAGCCTCTCACAATCCTGATGATAACTTATAGCTGGATTACATGCTGAACTGAAAAGCAAAGAGGTTCTTTGATGTTTCAGCATAAAACTCAAATTTTGGGTTTTTTTTTTTTTGGAATAAAGCTGCTTCTTTCCACTTGTTCCTCGCAAAAAATAAAAAAAATAAAATAAATAATAATAATCAGTACAAACTTGGGATTTTAGTGTTCCAAGGCATTTGTGCAGAAATACTTGTGTTGGTGACTGAAAACTGCAGCAAGGGGAGGTGGCCAGAGCAAGTATAACTGTCTTGATTTTTAAAGATTTATTCCTGTTACATTCCTAGTTAACCCCTATTAGATACAAACTCATCCCAACAAAAAGATCAATCCCTGAGAAGAATGCAATGCAAACATGTCAAGGTTTACTGGCACACAAACTCGTAACAGCTCAGTTATATCTCTATAATTAAGAACATCTCTAATACTGACAATATGAAAAAAGAATTCCAGACCAACTGCATTCACAACCAAAGCTCATACAGGGTGAACAGTTTCAGAAATTTTTTGAAGGACAATCACACTGTGATGTCAGTTAGACCCATGTAAAGTATCCCTATACAAACTGGCTTATGTAATAAATAATTCTAAGCAACAAAATAATACTAAAAGTTTTGGAATATCTGAAATTAGGCCAGTGATTTTCTTTCAGTAAAACTGGAATTAGTTACATAGCATAATGAATGCAAATCTGCTCTCAATATGGCTTATGCATTTTTTCAAAACAGGCAAATGAATTATCCAGTGCATATAGGACACAGTGCTCAATAGAATGCAGTATCAATGTATTCAAATCCAATAATGTAATGACTAATTCTATTAATTCTAAGCATTAAATATTAGAAGCAATACTATCATCAAAAGTCCTCTGCATAATACCTTAATTCTGATTATAATATAACTTGTGAAATAATGGGCATTTGA